CAAAACACTGACTATGCCTGGGTGTGAACTGCCTCAGTTAAAGCTCCTCTGTGTTAGAATTAGTGCCAATAAATCCTACACTGTTGTGCAACAAGACACTTATTTATTGTCTCATTTTCATGAACATTTAAAAACATCTGTTATAAAATTTAAAAACATCTGTTATAAACATAATGAAAAATAACAAATAAAGACTTTACACTGGGACATATTTATTAGCTGCATCTTATTCAGTGTGTGGTGATGGGATCTGACAGTTAGTGCCTGGGAGACTGCAGGTCAACATTGTCTGTATGTATGATATGTATAATATCCACACACACACAGACACACAGACACACACACACACACACACACACACACACACACACACACACACACACACACACACACACACACACACACACACACACACACATCCAAGCAAGCATGCACACACACATACACACACACACATCCACACATCCAAGCAAGCATGCACACACACATCCACACACACACACACACACACACATCCACACATCCAAGCAAGCATGCACACACACATATCCACTTACACACACACACACACACACACACACACACACACACACACACACACACACACACACACACACACACACACACACACACACACACACACTTATATATATAAAGTTCTATATAAAAATTATACCAGCATAAATAGCTCAGAATCATCCTAAACATAAAGAGATCATGGAGTAATAACAGACATCTTACGAGCTCTTAACCCAATGTCGCTGGGGGAAATTATTAAAAAATGGGGAAAATGCTGTGCTCATTTTTTATATTTTTTGTGAAATGTCTCTACACATAGATGGCTCTGTTAGTGCTTAGCCTCAAAGGAGTCAATTAGTAGACCTTGTGACCTTACCTGATTTCACCTTTCCTTGAATTGGCAGGAAAAACGTATTTTTTACTTGTGCTATGAATATTGATGGTGTTATTTTAATTATAAACATTATTATTACTATAATGTTATAAGCATTAGTAACAACAAAGTAAGATAATGTAAAATATTTTTGTAAATCAAAGAAAAGGGTAAACGGGTGAGACAGGCAGTACTCGTAATTGACTCATTGGTGACTTAGTACAAGTGTAGCCATGTACGTGTTAAAACAATTAAACAAGTAAACTCACAGTGAACATAGCATGTACATACATGTCATGCCCGTCAGCAATGGGTTAAAAATAAGAAGAAAAAAGGATAAATAAATAAAGAAAAAATAATGCTGCTGCTGATACTGATGATAAGACAAAGAAGAAAGTAAAAAATATATATACACACATATATATTTAACAGATAAAAGTTATATCAAAGTATTACTTTTTACCTGAACATTATTATGCATTTTATTCAGTCATCTGGATACCTAATTTAATTTTTTACAGGCTATGTAAAAAGATATAGAAAATCTACCACGCTTTCAGAGCTGCACCACCACCTTCACCTCTGCCCTTGCCATTCACTTCATCCTTCAAGCAACAAAGAATTTTCCAACTCTTTCATGTTCACTTCCTCAATGTTTGTTTTAGTTGCACCCTGTGGCCTTCCCCTCTGGTGCCAGTGAGGGGTGCCCCCTCTGCCATGTCTGCCCCTGTGAAAGCCACGTGGAACTCCGGCACCAAATGAGATCTGACGTGGAACCTTCTGCTTTGATCTTTGCAGAATCTGAGTATGACCTTCTGAGCATGTAACATCTTCTGTGAACATAGTCTCTGGGACACTTTGGTTGCTATTGTCATCTGACATGTTGTTGATCACTTCCTCACATTCCATTGATGCAGATGTTTCATTTTGATTAGGTTTTGTGCCATTTCTGTTTTTCTTCTCTTTTCCTAACTTCCTCCAGTTCAAATCATAGCGGAAATCTGCAGGAAATTTATGCAGTCTTATGCAATGGCCCTTTCTCTCAAGAGTATTAGAAAACTTCTCTGGACATGTTTCAAGGAGACACTGGTACTGTAAACAAAGGGAAAAGAGAGAAAAAAGGAAATCATTAGACTGAAACCAAACTAGGTGGATTTTCAAATATATACATATCTTATTTTTGTTTAAAACAAGTCTATAAATCAGAGTATGGACATGTATCTATAAATCTTTATTATATGTGCATATATATATCAAAGACTAGTCTACAAAATGCATAAATGAGTAAACTGATGCAGTAGCCTGGTATTCTAATCTGATTAACCCATTCTTAGTGGGTGATATGTCATCACTTTATGACAAAAAAGCCTAGACTGTCACTTCATGAGTTTTTGTTCCAACTGCCAGACAGAATGGCATAAAAAGTGGAGGCATCATGATTCAGGTACTTCATTTTTCAAGCATTAGCTTATTATATACAAAACATTTTGGTTGAGTTATGATGCAAGATTTAGTAATGTGTCATCAAGCTGAAATCATATGCAATTACTCATATGGCCTTTTTCTAACATTTCCCAAACCCCTAACACTCTCATACATGTTTACCCTTTACTTGTACATTATTGGAACCTATTGAAACATCTTTTAATTTTGTATCAAAGTGTTTGCTTTCAACTTGAGATGGTTTGATACACTCCTGCCAGCCAACCAGAACTCAATATTATTCAGATACATTTCATGCAGTTTCAGATAGGTTTTTTTTTTATTTTAATTAATTATGAATCACATTGTAAGTTTCTTGATATAACTTTTTATTATAAAGGTGCATAAAATGTTTCTATGCCTTTTTAGAAGTAAATCAAAAACATGTTCACTCTAAACAGGGAAGATTTGAAGTCAATCATGATGGTCACTGAAACAACAAGGTAAGAATTTCCAACATGTCTGAGTCAAATGATGTGGTATTGACTTCAGTGGGATGGATGTCTTTAAAATCATTCTGCACCTGATCAAAAATATCAAAGAAAATTCTATATATCTTGAATTGTTGATATAATGCAATCAATAAGTCAAGTAAATGTCTGTGACCATTGGAATTACCCAGTTGTCTGATTTGGACACAGCACTCACTCGTTGTGGATACGATGAGATTCAAAACCTTCTGCAACTTCAACTTTTCATGTGAACAACAATGTATAAAATAAGGAAGAAATATTTTGACAGAATCTGAGAAATACATTTAAACTTTCCACAGCCTTGTGTAGAGGAGAGTGGTGTGTATAAACAATATAAATTGCAGAATAGTCAGGTACTTTTTCTACAATGTCTTGCTTGTAATTAAAAATCATACCAACATATTATGTTATTTAATGGTTTTCTATTGACTTTCTCTATGTGAAATAAATAAAGATGACTTCTCCTTTAAATGTCAGTACAAACTTCAATGATTTTGTGTTTTGTAGCAACTGTGATACAACTAGAAACAATGTATCAAAGTGTTAGGGGTTTTGGGATGTTACAAAAAAAATGCCTTTAATGTTCTAATTAGTGTCTTCCTTTTTTTTTAACAAACTGGATAAGTGAGTATATAAAACATGGGATATGATAATCTCTTCTTTTTTCACTAAATTTCAGCCACGTTAATATTCCTGTTACAGACTTTTCAGCTAATTCATAATTCATAAGACTAAAAATTGTGAGCCAATCTCCCTAGCAAGAAGCTGTGTAAGAGGCCTTACCTCTCCACCATGATCAAAACTTAGCAAATATCAGCCTTATCATGAATGGATTAATCAGTTATATTTGCATCAAATACAGTAAGTCCCCAACTTAAGAACATAATGGGGACCGAGAGGCTGTTCAGAAGTCAATTTAACTGTATGTCGAAAGTCGGGTCTCCATTACCTTTTTTCCCATTGTTTTAAAGTTTTGTTTACATTAAGAATACCTGTAAATAAATCCCAATAAGTACGACATACCTTATACAGTACCAGACTCTTGAACTATATTCCTGCCCAGGAAATTTGAAGTTTGCTAGCATCTTTCAAACAATTTTTTGGACTTTAGTACTTAAAAAATTTTGTTTGTATGTATGGAATGTTCATAAGTAGAATGTTCTTAAGTAGGGGACTATCTGTACAGGTGATTAACATAGCATACTACACATACCATTGGCCGTCTTTCTGCCATGAGCTGAAATAGTGAGTCATGCACTTCAAGAAGATGAAGGTCTAGTAGATGATGAGACGGAAAGGATTGTTTACATAAGGAACAGACATAGTTGTGGCAGGCGCGCTGGTGAGCCGCATGTTCAGCCACAGTGTCGAACATCTTGTTACATCTTGGGGCACTGCACTTGATCACTCCAACTCTGCAATAGAGTATTTCCTTGAAAAAGATGCAAAGAAACCTGTGAAGGCAAAAAGGCAAAAGCAATGTGCATATGTGTTCAACTTTTAAAATTTAGTACATAACCAAATTTTTTAAAATAGAAATTGTCAATAAATAATTCCATTGCTCTTGGTATACATAGTAACTATTTTGTATGTGTGTGTGTGTGTGTGTGTGTGTGTGTGTGTGTGTGTGTGTGTGTGTGTGTGTGTGTGTGTGTGTGTGTGTGTGTGTGTGTGTGTGTGTGTGTGTGTGTATATTACAATCTGTTTAAATTCACAGCCTGAGCATACTATGACATCAAAAGTGCACTTCAATCTGTTGTGTGTATAGTATGAGGATTTATGAACCCAGCTTCTGAAGCAGGGGCATAGCAGTCTACATGGGGGTGACATATATATATATATATATATATATATATATATATATATATATATATATATATATATATATATATATATATATATATATATATAAAACTGAGTGTCAACAGCTTCCTTTATTCCTAGGTACATGGCACATGGTGGACTAATCCTAAAAATCATTTTGTGATAAATCTGAAAATTTACTATTGCTGCTGAGTATACTGGTAAAGTATATTTTCCATTATGTATTAGGATATGAGGTGAATCATAAAGGAAATAAATGAAGATGCTATCACATGAAGTTATCTAGTTTCCACAATAAATGAGTGTCATGTAAATCACTTTCAGAACTGTGAAGGAATTATTACCATCTTGATACAGCATATCAAATGACAAATATAAACCTTGAAAAAAAAATAATAATAAATAAAAAAATAAAATAAATAAATAAATAAATAAATAAATGTTTATGCAGGAAAAGAAATAATACTTATATCTATACATTCATATATTTTCACATATACTTATATTCATACATCTAAATCTGTATATTTATACTTATATGTATTCCATGTGTATCCTCAAACATATACATGTCGACAATTCCAGCATTATTTGCACCTGAGATCAGAAATATTAACCCCTTGCCAATGGGCATGACAAGTACATACATGCCATGCCCATTATGAGTTTACTTGTTTAATTGTTTTTACACATAGATGGCTATTTGATAGTAGGCTGTCCAAGCAGTCACCAGTGAGGATATCCAGACAGCAAATTGATTTTGGTCTGGACTCAGGAAGAAAATCATTAAACCTATAACTTGGATAATCAGAACTCATCAGAAAAGTTGTGAAGCTGCAATGTTATGTGCCTGCAAGTGTGGGGCTACAGAAAGATGAAATTACAGAGGCCCAGGAAATTAGAAATTTGTGCTTGGTTAACAAAGGAATTAATATGCAAACTATCTGTACATATGTATATACGTACGTACGTACATCTATACATAGTACATTCACACACACAAAACCTGTCAGCTGGAAGGACCTTAACAGTACCAGAATTACTTCTTCACACAACCTATCTCCCACTGACATTAAAAGAAACTGGGAAAATAGCATGGCAAGTTTTTGAGACACTACACTATATTGAATGCCTTCAGATTTGTCATAAAATCTCCTAAAATAATCAAATGCAGCATCATTAAGCTTTAGGGATTAAGTGACCCATGGACACACATATAGCTCTGTCATGACTGCCTGGCACAGATGACAAAATATTGCAAGAGTCTTTTCACCTGCTAATATTTCTATTCCTTTATAACAGCTTTGAGGATAATTTTTTTCCCCTCTCCTGTGCACATACAAAGTTCATTTAACTATCTTATGTGAAACAAATAAGAACACATCACTCATACCTTAACATTTTTATAATTCAATCAAAACAATACTACTGATAGAAGAAGAAGAAGATGAAGAAGAAAAAAAAAGGTAACCTTAGTCTACATACCATGTACAATATGGAACACCTACTTGTTGTGTAAAAATTCTTCATTGTCCAGGTCAATACATGGCACCTTTCGAAGGGGCTGGCACACATGCATTCCCTCCGCAAAAATGGAATCATTCCAGTTACAGTGTTGTACACCAAGAGACAACAGATAATTCCAGGAATCATTTAAACTCATCCTGTGAAAAAGAAGGACAAATAAATGAATGAAAAAGGAGAATCATACATAAATATCTATTCTTAATATCAACAGGTATAATAACCATTGCTTTATGGGAATCAAGGGCTTTCATTTGCACAAATAAATTTACTTATTCAATAGATTCTATCCTAGAAGAGTGACAAATGTTGATTTGAGTAAAAGAGGAAGAAAAAAGAATCAACTACAAATAATAACAAGTGAATGACACAGTATCAGAGGAAATAGCTTTGTTATACTGAAGAATGACATTCAAGTAGACACTTCCTTTCATTAAGTTACTGCTGAATAACATTCATAGTAGTAGGAAATTTTTATCTATAACTTCTCCTAAATGCCTTTCTTTATCAGCACTTGTATCTGTTTTTGTCTCAATGTTATATTGCAAATATGTCATGTTTGCATTTACTGTATTCTTTTATGAACCTTTCCATATGAGTATTGCCATCCAATCTTTCTGGCTCACTGCATTCCTCAAAGTCATGGATGCAGCCAGAAATACTAGACAATTATGGATTAATTAATTAAATTGACTTTGTTTTAATATTTCATAACCATTACTAATACTCTTATGATGGCCAGTATTTTTACTACAATCATCAGTACTGTTAACATATTTTCATCATCATAATTGTCACTCTTATCATTACTACCATTAAGGATGCTACCATGACTTTCTGGCCTTTGTATTGATTCCAATTATTTGTTTTGTTTTTCAGGTAAGAAATGACATCCAATCGTGAGAGCCAGCAATATCAAAACTGAAATCCTGAAAGAACACCACCTTAGGCTAAAAAGAGGCACTGTCAAAACCGTTGGAAACTAATGATATCTACTTCTATAAAAGGGAGGCAAACTGAAAAAAGACATGATAAACGATTTGCTTGCACAAAAATATCAGTTGTTTCTGACAGCAAGAACACTAGGCATAAAATTATCCTTTCTATCCCTTGAAATCTGATTCTAATGCCCATTTTATTAAAAACAAATTTAAGACCTGACTCTCCCCATATCATTAAAGCAATTGCACTAATGTGGGGATGTAGAAATGAATGTGGGAATGCCTGATATACTTCAGACAAGAAAAGTTTTGTTACTCAATTATGATCTCAAAAGAAAACATATTGTTGGAGAAGAAAAACAAATTTCTCATGAACAATAAAAAATCAAAAACAGAATGTCCATCAAAACACTGATCTGTTCTTTTCATTAAAAAAGAAAAGAAAAGAAAAGAAATAAATAAAAAGAAAGAAGAAAAAAAAAGAAAAAGCAAAAATACATATATATATATATATATATATATATATATATATATATATATATATATATATATATATATATATCATGCAGGAATAAGGATAAAGATACAACAGTCCAATTATTTATTTATTTATGGTCCATATCTTGTTTCAAATCTTCATCTTTAATTAGATGAAAGTAGAAAAATATATAAAATTTACATAAGTTAACATATAATTCACTATAAGGTTCTAAGTTTGGAAAGAATAGAATATTGAGAGGTACATGTAAAAAAGAAGGAAAGAAAGAAAGAAAGAAAGAAGTATAAAAGCAAACTTATTATAAAGGGTTAAAAGTTTTTAAGCTAGGAAGGTGAAATTTTTGTAGTTTTTGAATAGTGAATGACACTGTCTACACTATTACTGATTATCTTAAAAAAGAAATTGTTGGTGATTGACTCTATACATTCTTTACAATGAAAGCCTGAATGATCATTTAAAGACTTCTAACAGAAGACTGGCATTTCTAAGCACATAAATACCCACAAGATGCCAAATTGTCAAATCAATGTAAATGCAAGACAAACCTTGCAAAATATTTCAATACTGCATATATGTGTAAGCTACTTGTTAATGAAAGAATCACACCCTTCACAGACAAAGTCCCAACAGACGATTTTTTATATCTATCATCTACCCAACAGTTCATTGGCACATACCTAAACAAAGTGGTATCATGTGAATCTACAATCCAAACCTAACCTTTCCCACTTTCTATTTATTCCCCAGACAGTAAGGGGAAAACCCCCCTGTACCCTCATTTATTAGAACTTTGTGCCACCTTATAGAAAAGGGACTTTTACGGTTATGTGATGGTGATGTGAACCTATTCTCTGAGCAGTGAAATGCAGCAGACATTTTTGTCCATTTGCAGTAGATAAGAGGTCACAATAGCTGTAACTGTGTTGTGTACGACTATTTCTTATGCTCTGTATGATAGTGGTGTGATGCATAGAGATAAAGGAAAATGGACACAAACATATTGAGCATAAGAGATAGATACAACATAGGTACTGCTGCTGTGGCCCCATATTTACCGCAAATGGACAAAAATATCAGCTGAATATCCCCACTCAGACAATAGGTCCAGTGTTTTGGTGTGAGCGAATAAAAACTTGGAAAGAGGCTATATGTATATATATAAAAATCTTTTAGGACTTCTTTCTGGAGGATGACACTCTCCTTAACAAATAACGACAAAACGCTATCATTCATAAACAATAAGACATTACAGACACGTGAGAGAATGATTTATGGCACAAGATATCACGTCCCTTGGTCCTTCGTCAAAAGACCTTGGTAAGCAGACATTTCCATAAATTATCCTTATTCTTAGTCAATTATCAAATGTTGCATTAATTCAACCAGCACACCAAATTTGACAAGCATTAACGAACTCTTTCTCCATGTACAACTCACCTATCAATCTTCCTGGTACATATATGCCCAACAGCTTTTATTCAAAACATCTGCGTATTTTCAACGCATTGAATGTAAACAAAAGGTGTCCCCGTGTGCCCTGTCGTCCAAGATATCGTACCACAGCAGTCAGATTGTTGTACTTCTAGATAATTGTCGCATTTTGGTGATCATATTTTCATGGTTTATGCTAATTCCCAAATGCCATTATTATGTTATGGCCGTATATCAAATTTAACAAAGACTGCTCACTCCTAGATAGTATGACAGAGGGGCCAGTGAATAGATTATGGACTATCGTTTTGTAAACTGACATACTGATACTTTAAATCTGTGCTGTAATATGAAATGATATAACCATACATCAACAGCACTTGTTCACGTCTGTACAGTTAGCTAGGATGAAAATCAAGGACACAAATGAATATATATTCTATGATGAGGTAATCCTGGTGTAGCATACGGACCGTTTAAAAAAAGGTAAAGCATAGAATTGTGGAACCCTTTGATAAAACTTAAAATGTATCTTTAATTTATTATTCAATTCATATCATTCATGTCATTTACCCATATTTCTGTTTTTTTCTGTGCCAATCTATGCATCTGCCCCCCTCTTCTCTCTCTTAATACAAATAAATAAATAAATAAATAAATATATATATATATATATAAATATATATATATATATATATATATATATATATATATATATATATATATATATACACATATATATATATATATATATATATATATATATATATATATACACATATATGTATGTATATACATATATACACACATATACAATCATACACACACATATATGTATATATACATACATATATATACATATATACATATAAATATACATACATACATACATACACACATATATATGGATATCTGTATATGTATATATATTTATATATACATACACACATATATGTATATCTGTATATATATATATATATATATATATATATATATATATATATATATATATATATATAATTTAACTATATACTTGCACAGCTTGATTGATTATCAAATATATTAGAAGGTGAAGTCATTGGCGGTGTTTAGATTTTTTTATTTTTACTTCTTTACAGCTCCTCCGTGTACCCAAGAGAATACCGGTATCCACCAGTACTCATAACCTACTTAAACTTCGATCCTAAAAAGTAATATACATATATATATATATATATATATATATATATATATATATATATATATATATATATATATATATATTTAGCTTCACTGATTAGGCTCGTACCCATCTTCGCCTATCTGTATCATCCTGTAATTCGGAATATAATCTATATAGTTTTCAAGGACGAATTCTTCTAGAGGGCTGATAGGCGGCTGTCGGTAGTGCAGAATCATGCGTGTTCTGTTATCCAGGACTGGCGATAGATATTCCTTGGTGATAATTGTGTCTTGCTGGCTCCCGAAATATACTAATCCGTTATATTCTTCTTTGGATAATTTGCTGCAATGTAGATGAGGAGTTATATTAGTAAAGTATAATCGAAATAGAAAACGACATACAGATAAATTTGTAAAGGAGAAACAATTGTATTAGTGGACAGGCAAGAAAGAGTAACTTAGAACGTGAGCGAAATACGAAAGCGAAAAAAAACCCATTGGAAAGTGAAAAGTACATGTAAGCACACGACAAAGCATCATTTTACAAAGTATATTTTATGTATCCCTCATAAATACAAAACAACATTACATAATTGAATACGACACTTACCAGTACAAAGATCCTGGACAAGCGATGAGGTAGATGTTGTTGCCATAGTAACCAAGGGAATGCATCATGTGGTAATGCTCCATCTTGCCTCGTTCATAGCCACCGAAACACTGAAACAGTTTTAAGAGCATTTTAGCTTTCTCGTCGCCACAAAATGAGTCGGCGTGTGCGATTTCTCATGAAGTTCCTATATGTAATATGTAAACTAAAATGTACAAGAAACTTTTTTCATGGTTATTTTGTATGTCTACAATACGTATAGCGTTAAGGTTGTAATTCAAGTAAAAATCATGACATTATAGTTAATATCGTAAATAGGTATTCGATCCTAAATTAATATATTTAGAAATAATAATTATACATATACATCCAAACACACACACACACACTCACGCAGGCACACACACTCAAGCACACACACGCATATATATATATATATATATATATATATATATATATATATATATATATAGATAGATAGATAGATAGATAGATAGATAGATAGATAGATATAGATAGATAGGTAGATAGATAGATAGATAGACAGATATAGATGTGAAAAAGAGTTACCTCGTGAACGATAGCAAGAATAAAACAATGTAATTACTGTGCCTCACCCAAGCAAGCGTGAAATAGGCCTTATGTTTGTCCTTCTCCGCTTCTCCATAGTAGTAGATCACGAAACTTCCAACCTGCCAAGATATATCGTGAAAACAAATATCAATTGCGAATTATGGGCATGCATATACATCATAATATGGGTAGGTCATGTTCTGAACAGCAACCGACCTCGTGAGGGGCTGACCGGACGTGAACCCAGGATATTGCGATTGCTAAATCACACACAGACACACACACGCACACGCACACACACACATACACACATACACGCACACACATACACGCACACACATACACATACACACACACACACACACACACACACACACACACACACACACACACACACACACACACACACACACACACACACACACACACACACACACACACACACACACACACACACACACATACACACACTCAAACACAAGCACACACACACACACACATACATACATATATATACACACACATTTATGCATATACATATACATATGTGTGTGTCCTGCCCTACAAGTCTTACCTTGTGTTTGGGGACGTATTCCTTCCGGCAAGGGTGCTCGTCAATGACCAGCACTGTGGCGGTGGCGAATTCTTTCTCCAGAAATGCCTCATATGCATCATGGGTTAAACTGAATCGGAAAATGATACATGCATATTATGTTGAGAATAAGAGGAGAAAAAAAAGGTTAGATTTCACAATACTATTGTTTGGTATTTGATATTATATTTTGGCGGTTTGTCTTTACTTCACACTTCCTTCTCTCTCTCTCTCTCTCTCTCTCTCTCTCTCTCTCTCTCTCTCTCTCTCTCTCTCTCTCTCTCTCTCTCTATATATATATATATATATATATATATATATATATATATATATATCTTCACCTATGGATTAATCTAATAATCTTACTACGAGATGTCAACAACAGCGTTCGGATCCGTATTGAAAGCCCTCCTGTCCATGTAGGTCGCCTGTTCGAATCCCCCGACGTGAACGCCTCCGTTTCCGTCATGCTTCGTCCTTGGAACCTGCGGCGTGACGATGACCCGACCTCGCATCTCCATTTCTCGTATGTACCAGTCCCAGTCTACGTCCTATGGTATTGAAGGATATTTCGGATTATTGCTCAGTTGTCGTGTTGATTATATTCATTACTGATTATGATTATACTTCCTTCTGTGATTCGTTTCATACGTCATGTTTGTTTTCGCCATTTTTTAAAAGCCGTTCTTGTTTTGTCTCTATTCTTACGAATCTAATTCTTCATTAAATTTACGAAGACGTACTTTAGAAAAACCGTTGGCATCAATGAGCGCTTTTAAACGCGTTGAGCAAGCTGAAACTCGTGGCATGTTTTATAAACCTACCGTGGAGAGCACAACCGTCAGAAACAAATGCGTGTCTATTGCGTGTAATTGCTGGACTCACGTAGTGCACGGTAGGCCAGTGCGGGAGGACCTCCATGGACCACCTCCGTGTCACCATCCAGCCGTAGGCGGGGAGAGTGAACTCGCGGTAAAGACGGGAGGTGTCGATAGCGCTGGGCGGGAAGCTGTTGTAGTTGTAGGCGTTGATGCAGAAGATGGAGTCGTCGGCATCCAGCAGCGGCGCCGTCTGGTGGAAGTAGCTGTGGGAGAAGAAAGGGAGACGTTCATAGAGGGATCGAGAAAAAAACAACATGGATTGTGTAATAAAGGAGGGGAATGGGTGTAAACGTGGGGGAAGAAGGGAGAAGTGCGCGAGGAGAGGAAGTTAACGTTGGAAAGTGAAAAAAAATACTGCAGATCATGAATAGGAAGGAGAAGTATCAAAAACGACATTGAACAACAGCAGGACTTACAGACTGTGAAAGAAAGAAAGGGCAAAAATCCCTCAGCAGTACAGACTGGTGAAATTAACCGTGGAGGTGGAGAGTAAGACGCTCAGGGAAGGAGAAGAAAGGGACAGGAAAGAAGGTGCAATGAAGGAAGGGAGAGGGAGAGTGTAAAGAAAAGTGGGGAGGGAAGTTCAGCGTGGGTGAGAGAAATTAATGTGAAAAAGGGGGAGTTAGCGCTGGGGATGATTTTTGAGCGTGGATGAGAAGATAAACATTGGGTAGAGAGGGTTAGTGTAAAAGGAGTTAATGTGGGCAGGTGATGAGAAGGTTAAACAAATATGGTCAGAAGAGGGACATAGGGCGAATAGGGAGGAAATACATTAGAGCTAAGAGGAAAAAGTCTGGAGGTGTGAGCAATAACGAAAGGATAAATAAAGTTGAGGAATATAAAATGGAGAGAGGGAGAGAGACAGAGATAGATAGATAGATAGATAGAGAGAGAGAGATGGAGAGGGAAGGAGGGAGAGAGAGAGGTAGAGAGGTAGGTAGAGAGAGAGAGAGAGAGAGAGAGAGAGAGAGAGAGAGAGAGAGAGAGAGAGAGAGAGAGAGAGAGAGAGAGACAGACAGACAGACAGACAGACAGACAGACAGAGACAGAGAGAGACAGAAACAGAGAAGGAGAGAGATGGGGGAAAGATAGACACACAGATAGATATCTCGTCTGCGGTAAGGGAGGCACGTGACACAGTGAAAGGAGAATCCAATTGGTTTCAGGCGGAGAGGGAGGACGAGCAGAGAGGTCAGAGGTCTGGGATAGTCCAGAGGTTAGGGCAAGGGCATAAAGGTCAAGGAAAGAACATAGATAAGAACTGGAGAGTTCAAATGTGAATCAAGGAACTTTAAAGGAGAGAGAAAAGAAGGAAAGAGAGACAGAGAAGGAGAGAGTGCGTGTAAACTGTATGCCCGCTTGTGTGTGTGTGCGCGCGTGTGTGTGTGTGTGTGTGTGTGTGTGTGTGTGTGTGTGTGTGTGTGAGGGAGGGAGAAAGAGGGAGAGAGAGAGAGAGAGAGAGAGAGAGAGAGAGAGAGAGAGAGAGAGAGAGAGAGAGAGAGAGAGAGGGGGGGGGGGTGGCGGAGAAATAAAAAGAAAGATAAAACAGAAAGATTTCGAACTCGAACACCCACGAAGTCCCACATCCAAAACAAACGCCAATCGAATCGAAGCAAACTATCCATAACACAAGAGAAAAGCGAAATTTCCCACAACAACATCAATCAACACCTTGCAACCCCCCCCCCCCCGACGCCTCACCCTACCTGGCTGGCTTGAAGGTGGCGCACCCCCCCCCCCCGCTCGTCTGGCCCACTCTGCTGACTCATCTTCCCCCCACCCCCCCTCGCGCCCTTCCTCCCGAGACGGTGATCTCAGCGATATGACTGCCTTATCGTCTTTATACTCTCTCTCTCTCTCTCTTCTTTTCTCTTTCTCTCTCTCTCTCTCTCTAAATAAATATATATATATATATATATGTATATATATATATATATATATATATATATATATATATATATATATATATATATATATATATATATACATATCTGTTTCTCTCTCTCTCTCTCTCTGTCTCTCTTACTCTGTGTCTCGCTTACTCTGTGTCTCTCTCACTCTCTCTCTCTCTCTCTCTCTCTCTCTCTCTCTCTCTTCTTTGTTCTTTTGTTCGTGTCTGCTTTTATTCGAGTTTGATTGTACTTGTGGCAGTCTCCTTTTTATTGAGAGAGCATTTGCATTTTTTCGGTGGATTTTGCATTTGTGTGTGTGTGTGTGTGTGTGTGTGTGTGTGTGTGTGTGTGTGTGTGTGTGTGTGTGTGTGTGTGTGTGTGTGTGTGTGTGTGTGTGTGTGTGTGCGTGCGCGCGCGCGTGTGTAAGTCTGTGACTGTAGGTTCCTTTGTTTGTGACTGTATGCATGTGTCTGTGTTGTGCGCCTGCATGCGTGTGTATACTCTACTTATGTAAAAATATTCATGCACGTGTTCTTATGAACTATCCCTGCCCCCGTGTCCTTTGTGCATGCATATATGCTTCTGATCTTATTAAAGTTAAGCAAGAAAGCACAGAAATGTTTTCCTGTTCCATGCCTGAGTCATTTCTCTCTCTCTCTCTCTCTCTCTCTCTCTCTCTCTCTCTCTCTCTCTCTCTCTCTCTCTCTCTCTCTCTCTCTCCCTCTCTCTCTCCCTCTCTCTCTCTCCCTCTCTCTCTCTCCCTCTCTCTCTCTCTCTCTACCTACCTATCTCTCTCTCTCTCTCTCTCCCTCTTTCCCTCTCCATCTCTCTATCTATCTATCTATCTATCTCTATCTCTCTCTCTTTCCATTTTATATTCCTCAACTTCATTTATCCTTTCGTTAAGCAAGAAAGCACAGAAATGTTTTCCTGCTTCATGCCTGAGTCATTTCTTTGTCTTTCTCACTTTTCTTATAAAACCCAAATTAATTCACTGGGTAATTCTATTCTAGTGTAACTGACCTTCCTATACTCATGTGATCGTTTCTATTGTCATTGTTGTTGTTTCCAGTTGTTTTGTGTGCATTCTAACAAAATCTCATCAAATAAACTTTTCTGACAAAATCCCAGCAAATAAACTTTTCTAACAAAATCTCAACAATGAAACCTTTCTAACAAAATCTCATCAAATAAACTTTTCTAACAAAATCTCATCAAAAAACCTTTCTAACAAAATCTCATCAAATAAACTTTTCTCACAAAATCTCAGCAAATAAACTTTTCTAACAAAATCTAACAAACTAATAAAATCTCACCTGATGAAGTCCGGCGACAAGATAAGGTCATCCTCGAGAACAATGATCTTCTCGGCCTTCGGGAACCTCCTGAAGGCGTGGAAGATGGAGAACTTGATGTGCTCATTGATGCGGATTTTGGCGCCCACGGAAGCGGGGTTGTTGTGGAAAACCGCCCGCAAGCCCATCACGCCCGCGAAGTCACGTGCTTCTTTCTGCCAGCCGTCCACTGACAAGAGGATGGGCGTGGTTCCTCCTCCCGCCTGTGACCAAAGCTGCCGTAGCTGTCTGTAATCGGGGAGAAAGGAGGGGGCGTGTGTAGTGGCGGCGGCTGTCTAACTGTTATGTGTTGCATGTGGTGTGTTGTGTATTTTGTGTTGTGTGCACTATGTGTGTTATTTTATGTTTGGTATCACGGTTGTTTTAATTATGGTAGGATCGGGAATGATAGGAGAGTTGTACATGGGCGTGTGTGTATAAGTCTCCAAGTCTACGTCTATATATATGTGAAAGTGCGTGCGTGCGTGTGTGTGTGTGTGTGTGTGTGTGTGTGTGCGTGCGTGCGTGTGTGTGTGTGTGTGTGTGTGTGTGTGTGTGTGTGTGTGTGCGTGCGTGCGTGCGTGCGTGTGTGTGTGCGCGTGTGCGCGTGTGCGTGTGTGTGTGTGTGTGTGTATGTGTGTGTGTGTGTGTGTGTGTGTGTGTGTGTGTGTGTGTGTGTGTGTGTGTGTGTGTGTGTGTGTGTGTGTGTGTGTGTGTGCGTGCGTTAATGTGTGCGATTGTATGTTAATGTGCATGTGTGCATATGTATGAGTGTTTGTACAGCTAATGTTGATACAGGTCTGTACTCACTTAAGCACTTTGTATTGCTTACGTGCCGTGACGATCACTACTGGAATCTGCTCCTTGGTTTCCAGGGGTGGCTGAGGGAAAGAAGGAAAAGACTCATGTGCACATATTAAAATCTAATTTCCCTGTTCCTATATGTATATTTTTATATATTTTTCAAGAATAATCTCAGTGATTATAACACCTCAGAAGAACAATTATTTTTTTAACACTTATTATCAATATCTAACATAATCGAACAGATCGTGACATCAGTGGAGGGCATAAGAAGGGGACATCAGAGAGGAACGTCACATAATGACATCAGAGAGACATCACATAGGGACACTAGGATAGGATATCACACAGGGACAGACACCAGAGAGAAGCATCACACAGGGACACCAAACAAGGACTTCAACACACAGCTGCCGTCGGGGAGATGGGGTCCAGGGCGCGACAGTCGCAGAGTGCCCCGTACCCTTCGTAGGTCTCACAGAATCTGAGTCGAGAGTGCATCTTCGGATCTCTGTACCACGCACACCCACGGTCTGTGAACGGCAAAGATATTTTTAAAAAGCAAAGAATGAAATGGAAATACTTTTTGTATCTGCCTAGGACTTTGGTTACTCAGTGATCTGCAGGGATAGCGGGTTGGTTCAGTTGAATTGTAAATAGTAAGAATCGTGCTAATATGCATGTACAGTGATTTATAGAAACATGAACATACGCAAACATACCCAACTGTACACAAACACATTTCCATTAGCAGTGAACCTTCTGGACATATTACACGGAAAAAAACAGATTGACACTTTACCTTTCGGGCCACGAGGTACTTCAGCAGCCAGCCATAGCGGCGAGGATATACTCTGCGTGTGGTTTTTTATTTCTGTCACGCCCTCCGCCCACAGAGGACCGCCCACCGTGAGTACAGCGACAAACATCTCCCCATAGCACACGTCGCCCACCCACCAACCGTTCAAGAATTTGATCAAGAAGTCACTCGTCTCGTCATCCAAGTAGTGTCTCCAGTCGCCCTTTGGGGAGGGGAAACTATATTAAATAGGGAAATAAGCTACTTTCTGCTTTCATGATCGGAAATATCTGATACATCAAATGAAGTACAACGAAATATTTGCAGATTACTTATTGACCTTTCCACTTATTTTCATTTTTATCCTTATTTTCATTAATTAATCAGGATAGCACCAAAAGTCTCATACCGGCGCCGCGAAGACAAGGATCCTGCCCGGCTGAATGCTCTTGAGAGTATCGACGAGGCCCTTCGTGGCGCGGGGTTGGGATGTCCTGAAGAAGGTGTAGAGCATGAGGGCGCCGCTATGGGGATGGAGCACGGCGAGATGCACACCCCTGTGGGCTGTCGTGTAACTCTTTAGGCCAATTCTCATCGTCTCGTTGTGTTGTCTTATCACCTGCAAGGGACAGCATTCTGACAACCAAGGCAAGACAGATTAATCCATGAAAATGAAATGATTCCAAAATGCTATTTCTCCTTCAGTTATCTAGGAAAGTGCGTGTGATATGAAGGATCTAAATAACTGCTTAATCACCCTTCCCTGGTTCTTCATCGTCATTGCATTAAGTTTAATTCCTTGTGCACACGATATGGCACTCGTCGTTAAGCAGCGCGACTCACCTCCTTCCCATTAACGTTGATACTAATAGTTAGAGCGTCCACTAACACCTCCACGGGGATATAGCCCAAATTTCTCTCTGTGGACAAAGAAAAACACTTCTCTATACTAAACAACATTTTAAATGATCACATCTTTCAATAAACAAGCAAAAGACGAATGAATGACAATTACACGAACGGAAATACACACATACCTCTTTCGTGATAGAAGTCGTTCGCCTGAGCATCTCGGAGGCTTGGTTCATCTACAAAGCAAAGCCTTCAGTGAGAATGACAGAAGAACACTAAAATTTTGGGTAAACACTTGAGTACGAAGTCAAATGAATGTAATGATATGCAATAACAACAATGTTTACAATAATTATCATGTGTGAGCGTGGATCTGCATGTATTGTGCTTGTTTGTGAACACACACACACGCACATACACACACACACACACATACACACACACACACGCAGACACACATCTATCTATCTATCTATATATATATGTGTGTGTGTGTGTGTGTGTGTGTGTGTGTGTGTGTGTGTGTGTGTGTGCGTGTGTGTGTGTACGTGTATGTTTGTGTGTGTGTGTGCGTGTGCGTGTGTGTGTGTGTGTGCGTGTGTGCGTGTGTGTGTGCGTGTGTGTGTGTGTATGTGTGTGTGTGTGTGTGTGTGTGCGTGTGCGTGTGTGTGTGTGTGTGCGTGTGTGCGTGTGTGCGTGTGTGTGTGTATATGTGTGTGTGTGTGTGTGTGTGTGTGTGTGTGTGTGTGTGTGTGTGTGTGTGTGTATGTGTGTGTGTATGTGTATGAACACAAACGCGAACACATCTATTTCTATTATTTGTTCGTCTGATGAGGAATTCGACGAGTTCGAAATATCACAATGCAATTTAATTTCTTAGTGTGGCTGTTTTCCTTTATATACATGTGTGTGTGCAAGAGTGTGTGTGCTTGAGTTAATTCGTGTGTGTGTGTATTCGTATGTGTATGTATGCGTATGAGTGTGTGCATATAACACAAACACAACACCCACAAGTGTATGATAATATGATATACTGTAAAAACAAAACCAAAATCACAAACAAGATTAACCTGCAAATACTCACTTGTCGATAGCCAGTGACGGTAGAAATCTTCCACAGTTCCCCCTTGAACCCCGGGAAACGTGCTCCCTGATTGGTCGATCATCAAGCCAATCACGACCGCGAAGATGGCAGAGAGGAACCACTTCTGGCCCCGACGCTCCATGATGCTGCGTTCACATGCGTTTAATTGTCTGGGATCATGTCGAGCGGGATGCAGGGAATCGAAGGTGGGATGCAGGGAATCGGAGGCGGGTTTTTGATGGCAGTCTCTCTTACGGCATGACAGATATCGCGGATTTTTCCTGGTTGTATTCGTCTTGATACCGTGAGCGGGTAAGCTTGTAGTTTGAAGTCCATTTGAGCACATTTTTCC